CCCAGCCTCTGGCAGACAGAGGCCAGGAACACCAACCCTGCCATCCTGGCTAATAACCATTGATGGACTGAACCTCCATGAATTCATCTAGCTCTTTTTTAAACCCTGTTAAAATCCTGGCCTTCACAACATCCTCTGGCGAGGAGTTCCACAGGTTGACTGTGTACTGCCACTGCATGGGCAGGTTGGGCCATTCAATTCCCTTACTCCCACTCTCCAGCTATCAGGGTGAGAAGAATGATCCGGTATATGAGACACACAACTCTTTAGTTTTTCCCAGTTCCAGGTTCACCCAAATTGATCACTATTAAAACATCATGATTCTCGGGGCCTGATAGTGGATCTCTTCCAATAGGCTGTCAGAAGAAACACGGGAGTAGCCAGACATGGTCAGGCCAATGGTCCCTCTAGCCCAATCTCTTCTCACTTCTCACAGTGACCAATGCCGGACCCTCAAGAGGCAGGGAACATGTTATCATGGGACCCATCTGCTGTGGTGTGTCTGGAGTCAGATGTTTAAACCATCTTAAAACCATAGAGCACTAGAGCTGGAAGGAACCTCGAGAGGCAGGACCAAGGAGCTTCTAGCCCATCCCTGCCAGGGGTCTGTCCAACCTGCTCTTCAATATCTCCAGGGATGGAGATTCCACAACCCCCCAGGCAACTTATTCCAGTGTTTGACCCCCCTGATAGGTAGGATGTTTTTCCTAGAATCCTAGAATCCCGGGGCGGGCAGAGACCTCAGAAGTCATTGAGTCCAGCCCCCTGGCCAAGGCAGGACCAACCCAACTCCATCATCCCAGCCAGGGTTTGTCAAGCCAGTACTTAGACACCCCTAGGGATGGAGATTCCACCCCCTCCATAGGGAACCCAGCCCAGCGCTTCTCCACCCTATTTCCTAGGGAAATCGTTTTTCCTAATATCAAACCTAGACCACCCTCACCGTAACTTGTGACCATTGTTCCTTGTTCTGCCACCTGCCTCCACTGAGAACAGCCTCTCTCCATCACCTCTGGATCCTCCCTTCAGGAAGTTGAAGGCTGCTATCAAATCCCCCCTCACTCTTCTCATCTGCAGACTAAATAAGCCCAAATCCCTCAGCCTCTCCTCGTAGATCATCTTTTTCCTAATGTCCAATGTAAACGTCTCTTGCTGCAATAGCCTTCACTAACATCCATTGATGGACCTATGCTCCACAAACTTCTCGAATTATTTTTTAATCTAGTTATACATTTGGCCTTCACAAAATCCCCTGGCAATGAGTTCCACAGGTAGACTTGGCATTTCTAATTCTAATATATCTTCTATGAGACGGGGCAGCCAGAACTAGGCACAACATTCGAAGTGTGGCAGTATAATATTGACTATACTATTTGCTGTCTTCTTACCTATCTATTTCCAAATGGGAGTTACGTTCTGCTAGCTTTTTTGCTGGCCACCGTCAATGTTTTTTTTTAAAGAACCGTTCCCAATGATTCCAAGCTCTCTTTCCTGAGTGGTGTCAGATCTCGTCACTTGTTATGTGCAGCTGGGGTTATGTTTTGCAGAGCGCTTTCCGCTGTATTATGAACACTGCACGGCATCTGCTCTTTTATTGCTCAGTCATTCAGTCCTGTGGTCTGCTTTGGACTTAGATTTGGATTTAAAGTGCCCTTGTTACTCATTGTTTTCTCCCTATAAGGGACTTATAAACTGTAATGAAGTCAGGTCTAGATTGCCTTTTGGGAACACTTAGGCTATGGCTACATGCGCGGCTTCTTGCTCAAGTACAGCTGTTCTTGCGCAAGAATCCTCAGTGTCCACACTGCCCGTCTGCTCTTGCGCAAGGAAATTTACTGTATGGCGTCTTGTGCAAGATCTATGCTCTTTTTTAACAGGTGTAGTTTCTCTTGCGCTGGAGGGCAGTGTGGACGCTTGGCAGGGATTTCTTCCGCAAGAAAGCCCTATGGCTAAAATGGCCACCAGAGCTTTCTTGCGCAAGAGAGCGTCCACACTGCCATGGATGCTCTTGCGCAAAAGCACAGCGCGCACATGGCAGTGTGGACCTTTTCTTGTGCAAGACGTCTTGCACAAGAACCCTTTCACAAGATTTTCTTGTGCAAGAAGCTGCCAGTGTAGACATAGCCTTACAGAACTCAACGTGCTTCGCTTGATTGAGCCTGCAGACGACACAGCCCATGGTAAGATGTGGGCGTGTGACACCAGCAAGGTGGACATAGCTGCACTTAGTGATTAGGACAGTTCTCCATGGTGTCAGGGGAACATTTGGCCTGAAGATCAGTGGAGGCAGACAAGGACAGCCATCACCCCAATGGGTCAGCAGGGGGCAAGGGAGGAGAAATGGACCGTGCAGGGAGTCAGTGTGTCAACCCTCCCTCCCTGCTCACACTGACCCTTCCTTCCCTCTCTTGCTGCCCGGGCTTCAGTTCCTACCAGGTATTCTTAGGTGTAAAGAACAGATTGCCAGAGAACTCCATGCCTGGAACTGGTCAAACTTAGCACAGAAATCGTTCTTGGTCAAACGAGAGGTGATGATGAAACTTTAGGTGGAGAATCATTTTGGGTCATTTTTTTCTGTTTCCGATGAAAATCCCGCACTCGGGATCTCAATGGTGTTCAGTTTGTTTGGGGCTTTTTTCATTGAAAAATCATAAATCATAATTTGTATGAAATTTGGACAAATTTTGAAAAAACTCTTGTGAAAAATAGTTTCTTTTCCAGGCGTGTTTACCCATAACTCATCATCACCTAGGAGACAGAGAGAAAGAGGGGCAAATCGGTCCCATCAGCAGGACAGTCTGCTGGTTAAATCACAGAACTGAGTCATAAAGTCTCAGAAGTCAATCCCCACTTCTGCTACAGTTGGCCAGTGTGACCTTGGTCAAGTCACTTAATCTCTCTGGATATCCATTTCCCAGCTGCCCTAGTTATAACACTTCTCTGCTTTGTTTGGGCTTCCAGGATAAACTGAGTAGTATGTGTGTGAGGAGCTCAGATAATACAGCGATGGGAACCGTAGAAATGTCTGGATAGCCAAGAACATTAAAGTACAGATCTGGACGGCAAGGGAAACACTAGGAGACAGTGGATAACATAAATTATAAGTTTTATTCCAGCATGTTTACAATTAAGGATGGAATGGAAAACAGGAGAATGAATGTACTGCAATATCAGGGCCAGTACATGATATGGAATGGCTATGAGGGGTGTAAGTGCCAATATTTCAGGGGTACAGTTGATTGCAGACTACACCAGTCTCCAAAGGATACTAATGACAGAATTAATATACAACATATGAGTGGAGCTCTAAATTATGCCCCCTCCCCAAAGTCAAGTTCAGGAGAAAGGGGGAGAAACAGGTGTGAATTTGGTTGCAAGTAGGCTCTTCTTGGTTTGCTGGACATTTGTTAGCTGTGGATGCATGGATGAAGGCTGCTAGCACTTCAGTTTTACTTCTGTGTAGGAGGGCACTTGGGTGGAGGACACTTCTCCTGGCAGTGGGGTGGAGGACACTTTTCCTGGCAGTGGGGTGGAGGACATGGCTCCGGGCACTTGGGTGGAGGACATGGCTCCGGGCAGGGCTCTGGGCATGGCTTTGGACACGGCTCCGGGCACTTGGGTGAACACGGCTCCGGGCACTTGGGTGAACACGGCTCCGGGCACTTGGGGGTTGGGCAGGTTTCCTGGCACAGCGGAGGGCACACTGGAGGTGGCTGGCAGGGCTGTTTACACTGCTGCTGATGGTGAGGCATCTTTCTACGATTCAGGTCAACCTGAAAGGAAAGGAAGAACACAGCCCTGGTGAACATGGCATTCAGCGAGGAGTAACACCAAATTCAAATAGCTATTTGGAATGAAGCGCTGCGTAGACACTTAATTCGAAATAGGGGACCTCCAGCCCTTCCCAGGGAGCCCTGGTGGCCACTCTGGGCACAGCCAGGAAAACTTCCTCTCCTCTCCCCCAGCCCCGGAGCCATTAAAGGGGTAGACCCTGGCCACAGTGCCTGTGCCAGCTCCAAGCCTGCCAGCCCAGAGCCAGCAGAGGCCACCAGGGCCCCTGACTCAGCGGCCCCAAAACATGAGCCAGCAAGCCACTGGCAGCCAGCCCTCCACCGCTCCCCAGGAGCAGGCTACCAGACATGGCAAAGAGGATGCTACATTCAGCTGCGTCACAAATGATTGCAAGGCAGGACATTGCTATGGGGAGTGGTTGGCAATTGCAAACTCCTTTGGGAAGCACCTGTGTCAAACACTGGCAAAGACAATTGTCCAGCACTGCTAGTTGATGAGCCGCAGAGATTAAAAACCTGCTGCTCTGAGTTTGAAATTCCCTTCGGTTTATTTAAAACATGATAAAATGTTACACACTGAACATCTAAACCTAGTTCAACCCCACGTTCTTTTCTTCACATTTTCAGGCCACCAAACATTTTGAAATCTTTTGTTCCCTGATCAACCCCAAACCAGTTTTCCAAATGTTTTTGGAATTGCCAACAAAAAAAATAAATAAAAAATCAGTATTTGGCTTAGCTGTAATTTTAAGTGCTTTAATGGAGAAGGAAGGAATGTAATCTCTTTCTTAAGGCTAAGCATGAGTGTAAATTGTTTTCTACACAGGGCCTCAATCCTTTAACTCAAAACACAGAGGTCTGTGTTACGTGCCGTATGCCCCGGGTGCATCCCTGCTGAAGATTCATAAGCACTGACATGAATCTAATTAATGCCAGTCACCAATGCTGGCAGACAAGTGCAAGAAGCAATAAAGCCCACACAAAGAACACAAGTGTTATCCGAAATAGATCTCTACCGAACCGAGGGCCAGAAGATAATGACCACCACAAAGGGAGCCTTCAGCTGGAAGAGAGACACTTACCCAATTCAACTGAGCGACGGAGAAGCAGTCAGAAGCCAAGTGGATTGTGGAGCACTGTGGA